TCCTTTACCTGCTTGAAGCCTTAATGGGTAAGAGTGGTTTAGAAAGAGAATGGGGTTGGCCTCCCAGAGCCCCGAAATGGCTGCATGTTCTGCTGGCTCAGTCTATGGAGAAGAGGATCCTCCTCCCACAGAGGGACCTGGTGAGCACCCCCAGGGGCCGGCGTCCTGGGAATAGAGTGAGGGAAGCCGGATAAGAATGGCTCTGAGAAAGGAGAGATGACTGGGGTTGCTGCTGGGAGGGGAGGGGAGGTCCCGGTGTGGGCCTGGGAAATCCGGGCTGCATCTCCATCTGGGAAACAGGCCCAGTGGGCATGAGTCTACCTGGGGAAGGTCTCTGTTTCTATGACAACAGTGCAGAGGGCCCCTCCCCCCAGTTCTAAAATAGCCATCTGTGAATACAGGTTTGGGAAGCTCAAAGGATCTGAGTTATCTAAACCCCTGCTGTACTCATACAGTTACCATTTGCAAATTGTGCACTCTGCATGTATGTATATGTAAGTATACATGTGTGTACAGACATGTACACACACATTACACATGCAAGCATAAACATACAATTCTAAACCCCACTATTTTCTGAGTAAGTGTCACTATTTAGCAGCTCAGTAATTTCCAACAATGTGTCCGTGGTCACGCTGACTGCAAACAGGACCAGGAGTGACCCCAAAAGTCCTGCCCCTGCAGTTACCCTGCATGACCTCTGGCCCTGGGGACGGAAGGTTCTCTCGTCTTGACCTCAGAGGCTGGCCTGTAACATCTGATACTGTTTCTTCAAGGTGAGAAGCATCCTGGAGCCCAACCTCAACTGCTTCGAGATCACTCCCTTTACACTCCAGCCTGAGCTCCTGGCCCCACTCCAGGGGGAGGACTTGGCCATTACCTATGGGCTGCTGAAAGAGCGTGGCCTGAAGATAAAGCTGAACAGCCCCAGGTCAACCTGGGACCCGGAAGCCAAGGAGTCCATGTCTGCCCTCTATGGGGCCCTCTCTGTGCTCAAGCAGCTGGCTGAGGCCTGAGCCATCCTGGGAGGCAGGCCAGGGTGTCGGTCCTAGTCCTGTCCTTTGCTGCAAACACCCCCAGGCTGTTCTCTGTATCGATGAGTTTGTATCTATTCCACAAATAAGTGATAAGTCTTTGTCTTTGATTTATTTTGCTTAGCACAAGACCTTCAAGGTTGGTCCATGTTGTCACAAACCACAGGCGACTCTGGCTGCTGAGTGGGGGATGGGTTGGAAGGTGGGGGCCCACATGGATGTAGGGAGAACATTGAAGGAGTTTCTCTAATTGCCCAGGCACTGAGTGGTATATTTTAAAAGATCAGTGGTATATCTGAAAAGGTAGGAGCTTGAAAAGTAGATATATTTAATTCTGGTTGAAATAGATCCCAGGAATACTTGGGGGATATACATGTAAACTCATAGGATCACATTCTGTGCTTCATCTATTGAATGACCTAGATTGGCGCTATTTTCTAATGAATTTATAATTGACACCAGAAGGTGGCAGCATTGACACACAGAAGGAAGCTTGTTGGTGATGGCACTTTCCTTGATTTGCTTTGGGACTTCTGAGTTAAAGGCAGACTGCTTTCTCTGCTCTGCTCTCCCATGGCCCTCCCTGCCTTTTCCCTTCTCCTTTGCTGCCTCCCTGCTGCATTTAACGTGGAATAGGCTGGGAGAAATGGGGCCGGGGCAGAGGGGGTCAACACTGGCTTCTTTTTATAGCCTCTAGAACCTTCCTTTTAAACACTGCATTGGTTGTATTGAATAATTCCCATAAAGAGCTCTGGGAGGTAAGAGTGAGTTATGGGGAACTTAGAGCTGTTTCCAGTGTTTCCGGAAACGCCAGCCCTTTGGCTGGGATTACTATGGTTCTGTGGGAAACCTGTTGTCTCATGCTGAGCCCAGGCAGAAGCCCTGAAGAGCTTGAATGTCGCTCAGTGAGCAGGGTATATAGTTTCTAAATGAATTCAGCCAAGCACAGGAACTGTTTAAAATATTGCAACCTTAGTCAACCCATTGGAAAGCAGGGCTGGTGCAAATGGTAGGGGGACTTATAATCTGATAGAGAGAGCACCTGCATTAATCTGAAAAATAATCACATCATTTTAAATCTTAGAACACATATACTAGTACTTATGTGAATAGGGGGTTAAGTTGTTCCTAAGTTTTCTTTCCAAGGCCTGTGGGAAGGGATGGAGGAGGTGACTCAGCTGTGAACCCAGCAAGCAGAACCAATAAGCATGGTCAGACAGACCCACCAGGAGTCAACACATCATCTCATCAACATCATCTCATTTCCTGATGACTAAGGACAATAACTGACATCTGGGGAACCCCAGGGCTGCGCATAGCTGCATTCCATCCCCAGCCTCACCCCAGCCCCTTCCCCTGTATAACCCTGCCCCTCATTGAATACTTGTAAGCACCCTCTCTTCTTGGTTGGCTGGCCTTCTCAATAAATGTCTTCTATGATTACACCTTGCCTTCGTTATTGGACACAGCGACAGGCAGCCCGAGCCCAACCAGGGGTTTCCTGGTAACAAAAATGTGGGGATTTGCTGTCTTCTTGGAGAATGGAGCCCGTCCTCATGAAGAATTGCTGCTGCACAGGTCTGGGCTGGAGTCTGAGGTCACCGCTGGGCGACCTCTGCCGGACAACTCCATTCACCCCGCTTCCTTTTCCTCCCTTCATTGGGTTGTTATTGAATCAAATTAAATAATGTCTACAAAGAACCTACCCAGTGCCTAACACGTAGGTGATACTCAATAAGCTGTTCTCGAGTGAACTGAACCGAGACAACAGTGAGGGACACCTTGGAAGCCTGGGTGTCCCTGCTGTGGTCCCAGGGGCAGCCCCAAAACCAGGGGGTGGGAGGAGTGGGTCTCTGGTCCGGGACGTTGAACTCTTCAATTTTTAGAAATTCGCAGGCAGTGGAGCATGTCTAAGGATGCCCCTCCCCCTGGTAGGGACTCTAGGCTAGGCAAATATTTGCAACCATAGTAAAACAGAGACTTATATTTTTCATACTTATTTTATATATTTAAATGCCATTTAACAAAGAAAAATCAACCCAAAAAATGAGTTTGCGTGTCACCGCTGACATGCGTGTCATAGGTCCTCCATCACTGCTCTAGGCTGACAGTCTCCTAAGATTAGGGAGGAAGGGAGGGGGTGAGTGCAGTGTGGGTAAGCTGTGCCAGGCCTTCTTCCTTGGCGTTTTCAGGCCAGCAGTGGCAGGAGAGTGTGCCCCCACCTGTGCCTGGTGTGCTGGGAGCAGAGGTCTCCATGCAGCTCAAGTCAGAAAGGTACTGCAGGGGCATCGTGCCCAGCTGGCCTTCGCGTGAGTGTCTCCTCTGGTGGCTTTGCTTCTAGAGGACATTGAGACAGTCCCCACAGAGGGACCGGAGGCCCTCTCCCCCTTGGGCCTCTCAGGCTGTGTCTTTGCTGATTGTTCCTCCCCTGGATACAGCGAGGCCCTGCATTCCCTCTACAGGCAGGTCCCTCCCTCCCTCAATAATTGGAACCAATTATGCAAGTTCTAACAGCACTTTTTATACAATTTCTTATAGTTCCTGTTTAAAGCTGATTAAGAGCGTATCTATCATTTATCTATCTATCTATCATCTATCTATCTATCTATCTATCTATGTATGTATCTATCATATCTATCCATTTATGTATGTATCTATCATTTATCTGTCTATCATCTATCTATCAATCTATCTATCTATCTATCATATCTATCTATCTACCAATCATTTATCTACCTATCATCTATTTAGTTTCTATCTTACTAGTTAGCAGTCCTTCCTTAATTTGGGGCAGCAGCTACTCAGAACTATCCCTCCCACTCATTCATTATAATTTGGGTGGGCTGGGGTCAGTGTTTTTGTAACAAGCCATGCCCACTGAGCAATGCTGATTGGATGAATGGATGGATGGATGGACAGATGGATAGATGGATAGAAGGATGGATGGATGGATGGATAAATGGATTGATGGATAGAAGGATGGATAGATGGAGGAATGGATGGATGGATGGATGACTGCAGACTGTTTCTGTCTCTTCGTTCTTTGAGCAAAGACTTACGCTTTACGACGGGCACTGAGCTGTCTCTGGCAACACAGTGGTCACGGACAGATGAGGCGCAGGGGCTCAGGTCGCTTTCCCCAGCAGCTCCTGGAGGGGCTGGAACCAACCTGTCTGCGAGAGCAGGTGCTGGTGGGGCAAAAGCTGGGTGAGAGGACGCCCTGAAAAGACGTGAGGGGGGGGTGGGGCGGGAAGGGCATGGGAGACCAAGGCCAGAGCCCGCTGGCTGCTGCAGGCCGTCTCCCTGGGGCCATCCGGGGGTTTCCTCAGCCCAATGGGAGCGCCAGCCGCGCCCTGTGATGTGTCTGGAAACGCCTCCTGCCAACACACCTTCTGTTCTCTGTTCCGAGAGTCTCACTTAGCATCGGTGGGAGCCGACCTTTCCCACCCACTGCGGCCACTTTGCTCAGAGGCCTGTGAGCTCTTCCCACAGTAAACCCCTGGCAGCGCCCACAGGTCAGGCTCCACCGTTTAGGGCCCTAAATTAAGGGGTGGCTGTGGGTCGGGCCCGGGCCCGTGTCTGCTGCTCGGTCCTTGGAACAATGCGGCCCTTTTATGGCCGTGGGGGAGGCTGGGGGGACGGCTCGGGGGGTGCTGGGTCTCCTTGGGAAGCCCCTGAAAGACGGTGTTTACCGGCTGGGAAACACCTCCACCGCAGGTTGGTTTGTTTGAGACGCTCTGCCCCGAGCCCATTGGCTGCTGGTTCTTGTCCCTGTCCAGGGCTTTAAGACCCCACCACAGAATGCACTTTAAGACCCCACCACACCACAGCGTCTGGGCTTTCCTCGTGGCACAGGGCGGCTGGCTCCGGGCTCAGAGGGCGATCTCTCCTCCTGTGGCCACAGAGCCCTGTTGACGCTGGGACGCCCCATCCCTGCTCCTGAGAGACTCCGGGCTCCCCCGACCCGCAGCCCCGCCCCCCTCCCCAGAACAGACGCGCCTGTGGGCCTGTGCGTCTCAGGATGAGTGTTGGCCTCATAGGGCGGTTGCCATCGGAGACGTCTCTGCCTGGTCCAGATCCCAGAGCTTTGGGGGCTCGAGTGTTATCATAGGAGCAGCCCGGGAGCCCCCTGATGACCCAGGAGGGGCGGGGAGTGTGATGGAAGGAGGGGGCCAGGGCAATCCGGGCTTGCAGATGGGAAGGTCTGGTCAAGGTTGCCTGGTCCACACTTTGCCAAATGGAGGAATCACACCTGACCTTCTGACAGGTGCAGTCTCTCTCTCTCTCTTTTAAAAAATGTGTGTTATTGGCTTCAGAGGGGAAGGGAGAGGGAGAGGGAGAGAGAGAGAGAGAGAGAAACATCAATGATGAGAGGGAATCATTGATCAGCTGCCTCCTGCACGCCCCAAACTGGGGATTGAGCCCACAACCCGACATGTGACCTTGACTGGAATCGAATCCGAGACCCTTCAGTCTGCAGGCCGATGCTCTATCCACTGAGCCACACCAGCCAGGGCCAGGTGCAGTCTCCATCTATCTCTCCTTACGCCACGCTCTGGGCCCCGCTGTCCCAAGGCGAGAGGGAGGGTCTTAGGAAACTACAGGAATTGAATGAAACGAGGCTTCAGGTCCCACTCAGGTTCTTCCTCTCAGCCCATCTTTTGTCCAGTTACCCGGCCGGCGGCTGGGATGAGACTCTCCTGGCACCAGCCGCCCCTCTTCCTCCTTCTCTGTCCTTGTACTTATGATGCAGATACTTCCCAGCCCTGCCTGGTCCAGCTGGGACCTTCTCCCCAGGGACGCAGCCTGTCTCAGAGCCCCAGGC